TGATCGAAAGAATTTTTTTTCAAATTCTAGGCTACTAAATTCTTCATATCGTTTTTAAAATACACTTTTTCGAAAAAATCTCATTGATTTCTTTTTTCTTTCCTTGAATCATAGCTCCTATCAGTTCACTTCTACGACTCTGGAAGGATTCGGTCTTGGAATATCATTTCACTGTATTAATAGCACATTCGTACCAATAAGTTTAATATTGTCAACAAGTGACCGACAATTATCGAGAACTAAGTACCGCATTGAACATTGGTTTTGTTATAATCGAGATTAACCACTATCGGTTAATTCACTATAATTGAGTATTGAAAATAACACCGAAATTTCAGTCTTGGTAGTAATTTCTTTTACTTTGGGATCAATTAATTGGTAATTATTAAGTTAAATGACTTAATAATGTTATGTGACTTTTGTGCAATAACATTTTCAAAAAATAGCTACACTTGTGTTCGATAACAGTACGAAACAACTCCGCCGAGAGCCATTCTAGGGTTATTGACGATGCCTAGGTCAGATAAAGGAGGATTATGCTTGGGGTAAGCGACTTCATCTCGTTTAAAAAACCAACTCGCTAGAAAAAACGCTAACCGGAAATGGTCAGCGACCCATGTTCCATTTGGAGTAACAAGCATAAATAAGGAAAGTAAGATTTGTGTTGCTTACAAAGTAAAAGTCAACAGTGAATTATCCATCAAGCTAACATATAAGTCATTTTTAAAATAATTTTATCCATTACTGTACATAAAAAGAAACCAGAATTTGATCTAAATAAGATCACATTTTGTACAAAAACTTTGATTTTTTTCCCATTGTTTATGTTAAGGAAAAAAAAATGACCAGCCTCTTTTAGTGGAAGTGCATTTTGAAGGTGTTATCTGAATAGTATCACAGGTTTCTCTCTCAAAGTTAGATAGTGGTTAACAATGCATTCCAGAACCACTGTTTCTTCCTGTTTAGACTAGTTAGTTAGTTAAATGTGAAGGCGCATCCTAATTCAAACACATTTCATTGATTGACTAGTGTTTTTACTTCTAATCACCTTGGAAATTCGGACATACTCAAGTCTGTATTCTGGGTAACCAGAATTCAACCATGGTTGATCATGATCATCTGCATGAATAGCTTGTAGCATGGTCAGGAAGTACTGAAAACTTTTCGAACCTTCATGAACATTATTCTTAAATTACTTGATGAAATTATAGCTTAGTGAGACATTTTCCTGTTGTACATATTTCGACATAGTTGTTTCAGTTACTGTTGGGGACATCAGATCCCCAGAACTCACTTGAAAAGGTCCCAATTTTGAATTTCTATCACTTTGTGCCAGTTGACCTACAGCCTGCATTTTCCACTCAGAAATCCTTGACTGTCATTGGTTGATGGACTTTTTTAGTACGCTATTTTGTGGCTCCCCCAAGGGCGTTTCTGTCATGTATAAATAAGCTCGATTTGTGTGCTTGGAAACCTCGTACTTTCTGTGGCTTGCAGAATACACTTTTGTTGGGGATGTTAGATCCCCAGAACTCGCTTGATAAATGAATTATTTTAGATTTCACATTTGCAAGCATGGACCGATCAGTTGACATTAAGATTTCATTTCACACAGGGAAAATCCATGGCTGTGATTGGCTGCTGTGTATTTTAGTGTGCTATTTTTGTGACTGTCCCAAGGACGTTTCTATGATGTATAAAAAAACGAGAGTTGTGTGCTGGATTGCTGGGTGTTGTAGAATATACTTTCTACGCTTACCAAGACTTCTGCTTTCGTTCCGTTTACCAAGTAAAGTGAACTCGTAATAGAATTCAAGCGTATCAGTTACAAGTCCGGTTTATTTTGTTTTTCTGGGTCAGGTGGATTTGTCAATAGCCAGAAATCCACAAACAGGCATAATTGTTGCCTTGGCAACACTGACACGTCATACACTGAGTCCAGATAACCACTAATTAGCACGAAATTCGGTCCTAAATATCAGTGAAGCGGTAATTCAAACTGTTTTTAATAGTAACAAATGTGTGGAATATGCTAGTGACTTTCTAGGTGTTGTAGGTCAGTGGATAACTGGTTGGCGTTCCATCCCTAGTACGGACGCCAACACTGAACTACTAGTATAGTCTAAAATGAGCATCTTGTTGCCAACACTAGCCATCATCCAACTACAATCTAAGCAATAATCGTTTAGACTAATGATAACTAGTTTATATATGTAATCTAATCCAAAACTTGGAGGTTAAACAAACTTTCAGTGGAAGAAACAGAGTATTTTCTGATGTGAATGAATTAGTATGAGAGAAAACGTAATTGGTGTTGCTAGATACTAAGTTATCAAACACGTAAACCTACACAGCAAAATGTAAAACGTTAGCATTCAGCCCACCGATTCGTAATCAACACTTGATAGGGAGGATCTGTGATACTCATGTCAGTTAAACAGTTCAGATGTCATAATAACTCACTAACACTCTAAGTAACTTAGTGATAGAATCTTTAAATTCATTGTTTGGTATTGTGAATTCAACTCTTCCTCCGATAGTTTACGACCATTTAAACTTTTTTGAAACCATGGATCGATCAATGTTAGACCACCATTAGAAACCTGGAAGTACTGGACGGCCGTTTCGTCCTGGTATGGGACTCATCAGCAGTGCGCACCCACGACTCCTGCACCCCGCAGGATTGGAACCCAGGACCTTCGGTATTGTGATCGAACGCCTGACCATCGGACCACTGAGCCGGTATCTAACGGTGTTTATGTCTAACTTGATCAAATCACAGAGTTGCGCAACCTCATACACAGTCTTCGGTAGTTAATGTCTTCACCCGAACAGGTTGAACTTCACTGGTCACGTCTTCCCACTAGAACTCGGAGAAGATTCCTCACGGAGCTAGTCACTAGTGAGCACAGGTAATTTTGCCTACAATACCGAAGGTCCTGGGTTCGAATCCTGCGGGGTGCAGGAGTCGTGGATGCGCACTCCTGAGGAGTCCCATACCAGAACGAAACGGCCGTCCAGTGCTTCCAGGTTTCTAATGGTGGTCCAACATTGATCGATTCATGGTTTCAAAAAACATTAACAATCTTCACAACCCCATAATGCTAGACCATTTAAATGAAAAAATGGTCAAATATTTGAGCTAAAACATTCGATTTTGAACATTTCATCGTATGGTAGCGTGAATTGATCACAATAAACGCAATACGTTCCGGTGAGATTCATATCAAACTGAATTTGAATCACTATAGCTTTAGATTTACATATATATAAACATCACTAGTTCCATGTTTGTATTTTTCTTATTTCTCCTAGGTAATTAAGTACTAAAGTTGTAAAGGCTGAAAAATCAGACAAGGTCAGAATGGTGCATGGTAAATTTGAACAAGCCTATCATGAAATGTATGCAAATTATTGATCAAGCCAAAGTCCTGTTACTGTCTGATTTAGTTTGGACACATATATGATTGAATAGCTGAGGTAATATATGTAACTTGATTAATTAAATTTGGATCAGTGTATTGAAAAGCTGTTACAGTTACATTCAATAATATAGATTATTGAATTGAATAACCTACTTCATGAATAGAATATTTTTATTCTGAAATCGTTAGATTAATTCTTCCCGTAATACCGTGCAAGAAAGACACTTTCACACAATCTAAAAGATCGGAAGCGCATGACTCCATTCAAATTTTGACTATGTATCATTTTGTTAGGTGAAATCTTTTATGCGATTGGTCGGTCATTTACAACGTAGGACTTTGTACGTACGTACATCCGTTCAGGTTGCCATAACATAGTAGCATAGAGACGCAACTGTCAGTTCAAATCCCATAGTGGTAGAGATAGAAGTATTAGCTGTATTGAAGAAGATTAGGATTCGATAAGTATAATTCAGTGAAACAGATTTGAGAAGAGAAAAATAGAGGCGATGAAGAATTCAGAAAATTAGAATTTGAGAGAACACAAAGAGTGGATGCACCTGAGCAACTGCAAATGATTTTGAGCCATGTCGTTCAAAGTCTCTAAACATTGGTGACTTTCATCTCGCGGACCCCAACCAGGTAGCCTACATCTACCAACATGACTCAGTCCACTTGTCAGTGACTTCATGGATTTCTGCCATGTTTTGATCTGGCCGCCGCTAGCATTCTTCCAACGTACTCCTACATCGCACAACATAGTTCGACGAGGCAGCCGTCAGTGGTTGAGCCTACGTAACACATGTCCCAACCACCTCAACTGATGAAGTTTCAATACTTCATCAACTGATTTGCCATCCCTATCTGGTACTCGTTTCCTAAATACAGCATTGCTTGCTCGGTTGTCCCAGGGTATACCAGCAATGCTTCGAAGACACATTCAATTGAATACAGATGTCCTCTACTCTTACCGGCCATCCGGAGCGAACTGCTGCAAAGTACACTCGTTCTTTGGTTAGCAAACGAATATCTCGCCTAGGACACGCAAGTTGGTAAAAGCTAATCGAGCCTTATGTATGCATGCTAAGATTTCGCCACACATCAGGCCATCAGCACGGATGAGATTACCGAGATAAGTGAAGCGGTCAACACGTTCAACTGCTTCACTCCTTATCACTAGTTCAGGTGCCGGCGCAAGCCAATCTTGAAGCAACATTTTGCATTTCGAGGAGGGAAACCACATCCGGATTGGATGGATTTTCGGAAAGAGAAATTTCAAATCTAGTTTTTAGAACGCTTCATGAGATAACCGGAAATTGTCAGCCTTATTATAAAGTAGTAAATGCGGAAAACAATTGACAAAAAACAACATTTCAAAACATTAACTACTACTCATACACGTTTTTTTCTACTCAATTCTTGTTATTAACTCAGTTTCCCATACCGAATGTATAACGACTAGTGATAATATACTCCGCCGGTCATATCAACCCAGATGACAATGACTTCAAGTTAAACAGCTGTTTTCACTTATACACAGAGTACACACTGTAACAATTCAAAAGTCTAAGCGAATTTCTGAAAAAAATTCATTGAATTCATTTAATAAAAAGACAAAGTTTTTGCTAAGATAACCAACCGCCTGATGATACTACAGTACCATGAATTTCAAAGAAACAAAAAAAGGTCAAAAAATATAAATAAAGTACACATTATTTTAACATCAGTTGTGAATCAATTCAATGTGACAAGAACACAAAACCAATGTCTACTATCATGAAAATCATTCATTACTCAAATAGCCACATGTAATCATAAAGAAAAAACCCCCACTGACAATCAGAGTGTACATTCATGACTTTCTATGTGGCCATTTCATTTGTGCTGGAAGAATATAATGTGATGCTAATGTTAAAATTGGTGTACCAGTTGGTATACCTGGACATGGTCCATTACTTGAAGCAATATCTAAATGTGTATAGGCCAATGGTTTCTCAGTGTTTTTCAAATGCTATGGAGTTTTAAAAATTATTGAAAAAGAAATATATATTATCTCATTAAAAAGATTTCTAGTTATATGTATATATATATATAAGAACAAATGATAAAACCTCTCAAGTGATGTTGTAGTGCCTCCACATTTATTTGCATCCGCTTACATTTAATTTGCTTGCCCTTTCGATTAATTTATTTAACCAAGCCACTTGTATAGCAACAACTCATATGTACCATCGATATTTGTTATTATCTGGTTTGTATGAGCTTGTACGACTTAGCATTGCTTACGCCTACGCGCTTACTCATCCTTTTTGCTTTAATGTTAATCTCCTAATATTCCCATGAACTCACATGATTTGTATCGCTTGCTTTTGACCTTGTCAGTCATTCCTCGCTTTTATTCATGTGTGTGCACGCCTATTTCGCTTGTCATATGTCTGTCTTATTTATGCCTGACTATATATTCTTAGTCATGTTCTATCTCTTTGAGTTGGCTCTTAGCCTTCTCCAATTCACTTCGCCCATTCGCTCGCATTGTAATCCAGAGAGTTGGCTCTTAGCCTTCTCCGATTCGCTTCGCTTTGTGGTGTGCTTCGAATAAACGTATTCATCAATACGAGTTCATCTTCTGATTTATAAACCGAGCTTAAGAACACGCAGTAAATCGGCACACTACATAATGGTGAGCCCGCCGTCGAATCTAACGTACTCATCAGAAAGCTGCTCGACGTTCTCAGGATGTTTTCTGATGCTGACGAAAAATCGAACGCTTCCAACTAATTGGCAATTTCGACGAGGAATCGAACGCAATCATTCTTCCGTGCATTCGCTCGCCAGTGCACTATAAAATGGTGTTCCCGACGTCAGCAAAATCGGCACACTACAATGTTTTTCGTTGAATTGTCTTTTAGTTACATTTTTTAAAGTCACCATCGATTAATTTCGTCATTGGAAATATACTAACGCAGAATGGTTACAGGGATTCAAGAGTCAGCTGAAACATGTCACTGTCAACACAGGAAAATAATCGTAATTCGTCAACATTTAATGGGGGGGGAGAAACGCGGAATACAGTGGGGACAACCGGAAAGCAGTTGAACAATCTAGACTTCGTAGTCAGTCAGTCAGTCAGATGCAACGTAGAACTTCGTACGTAAGTACATCAGTTAGTATCGCCATACCACATCAGCACAGAGATGTTATTGTCAATTCAGATCCAATAGTAGAAGAGGTAGTAAGGGTATTAGAAGTAATCGGAGAGGTTAGGATTAGAAGATATTATTCAAGAAGTATGATTCAGTGAGAAAAGTTTAGAAAGACTAAACTAGAAGGGTTGAAGAATACAGAAGATAAGGATTTGAGAGAACACAAAGAATAAATGCACCGGCGCCATTGCAAACGATTTTCAGCCATGTCATTCAAAGTCTCTAACCATCGATTATTATCATCTCGTGGACCCCAACCAGGTAGTCGACAATTACCGACATGGCTAAGTCCACTTGTCAGTGACTTCATGGATTTATGTCATGTTTTGGTTTGGCCGCCCCTAACTTTCTTCCAACCTATTCCTACACTACAAAACAAAGCTCGACGAGGCAGTCGGTGGTTGGGCATACGCAACACATGTCCTAACTACCTCAACTGATGAAGTGTCACTACTGCGTCTATTGATCTGCCATTCTTACCTAGTACCCGATTCCTAATAACAGCGTTGCTCACTCGGGTGTCCCACGATATACGAGCAATGCTTCGAAGACACCTATGATCGAAAACCAGTAACCTAAGAATAAGACTTCGTAGATGATCTAGCCATTCTATCTCAAAAGCAACAACAAATGCAAGCGAAGACGATCAAGGTAGCGAAAGCTTCTACTACAGCAGTAGATCTCAACATACATAAAAGAAAAAGCCAGATTATCCGATACAATACAATATGTACCAACCAAATCAAACTTGACAGAGGAGCTTTGGAAGATGTGGAAGCATTTACATATCTGAGCAGCATTATTGACGAGCAGATATGAAGGCGCGGATCGCCAGAGCAAGGGCTGCATTTTTACAATTGAAATTTATCTGGAACTCAAAACAACTATCAACTAACACCAAAGTCAGAATTTTCAGTACAAATGTCAAGTCAGTTCTGTTGCATGGGGCGAAAACTTGAAGAACAACGAAAGGCATCAACCACAAGATAAAAGTATTTATTAATAGTTCTCCACGTAAGATCCGTTGGCCAGATACCGTCAGCAACAACCTACTGTGGGAGAGAAAAAACCAGAGTCCAGTAGAGGAAGAAATCAGGAAGAAGCGATGGAGGTGGATAGGTCACACATTGTGGAAATCACCCGAAAGGAAGATCCAAGAATACATTGGAGACAGAAATGAGAAGAATAAACAACGATAGAATAGAACTGTAAAAGAACGCCGAGGATAGCCTGAGTTGGAGAATACTGATCGGCGGCATATGCTCTACTGGGGGTAACAGACATAAGTAAGTATTTCGAAGACATTTATGATCGAATCTTGACAATCTATGCCAGTTTCTTACCTTCGCACAACAGATTTCAGTCACGAAGTACGAAATAAAATTAGTTTTACAGGTGCAGGAAGAGGACAAACAAACTTCACAACAAAATATAGTCAATCACCAGTTCGGTGAAGTTGTCAACATACTTCATAACCTTACTCTCAATAGTTTGATCAAGTACTTATACCGATATTTTAAATTTAGGGAAAGGAATAAATCTTAAATCACTTTTGAGCTTTATAAACCTTACGATAGCTTGGTTCATTTTTCTCGGCTGATATTTACGATTCCTAACAGAATAACATTTCTTTTGACTCTGGAATCCATTTGTATTGTTGCTTAGGATTAATAGATCTCTGCATATAATGTGAAATGTTTGTCTGATAATAACTAATCCATCATGATGAAAGCTATGAAATAATCTTATGTAAAATTAATCCGATTAACATGAGTCACATGGTGAACTAAAGAAAATATACAATAAATAAATAAGTTTAAAAAAAAACTTACCGAGTCTAAACCAGATGCCATAATCATAAATGCAACTGGTGATTGATGTCCTCGGCTACGTTTCCCACAAATCAGACGAGCAGAATTCAATAAATCTGCATATTCTTCATCAGTTTTATGTGCATCATAATCTTCACGTCGAAGTGTTGATATCTAAGAAAGTTATATGTATATGTATATGTATATGTAATAAATTGGATGTTCAATAACATTGACAATTGAATTGAGTCATGTTAGTACGCGTAGTCTAGCTGGTTGAGGCAAACGAGACGATCGTAACCGATGGTTAGAGACTCAATTTAGGAGTTGACATCTAGGACCTACTGTAGTCAAACAACAAACGGGTATTAGGAATACTTGGACTAGCGGTCTTAATCTTAAATGAAACTCAAAAGTGATCACATGCAACTCTAACACGGATCGAACCCACAACATCCCGGTCTCACGAGCATTGTCCAGGACTTCCTGGCTTTTAATGGTTATCTAACTACATAAATTTCATGATGTTAAGTATATTACTATGGTTCATTGATCCGACAGGAGTGAAAATCACCGCAACCATGAATTCAGAATATGTGACTGAAAATCATCTCCATAATAGTGATTTTATTTCGATAAACCATTTATGCATAAGGCTAGAGTAACATAAGAAAATGAAAGGAAAAACAAGACAAGACTAACTAGTTAGCAGAGGTGCCTGGTGGCCAGCAGTGGAATACATGACGCACGTTTCGTTTTTCAGCAGGATTTATCTGTACTTCCGAACTCAACTTGGGAATTCCAGTGTTAGCCACTATCCACTTTTGCTAACAATGCTTGTAACTTGAAGGCAATATCAAGGCGATCCGCACACGACACACATATACCAAAGAGATTGATCGATTGTAGTGCTAACTAACAATTGAAATAGTTAAACAACCAATAAAAAAAGAATTTAATTATTACACATACTTCATGCATTTCACCTAATAATGAGCCAGCAAATTGATAATCATAATCTTCACCAAGTTCTTTAGCTGGACCATTACAAACAATACCCTAAAAATGAAAAAAAAATTATAAAAAAATATACAAAAACAAGAAATATATTAAAACATAAATGAAACATTGATAAGGTAAAGAGATTGACAGTTCATTTATCCTAAAAAATATGTATACAAAACTTGACGACTCTATTCAATAAATTTACAAACAGTCGTTCATTGAATAGTTTGAAAGAGCTGTGGTTTTCTATATGATTCCTGATAGTTATTTACAGTATTCTTCTTGAATAATATCTTTGAACCCTAATCTTCTTCTTTACCAGTAATACTTCTACTATCGCTATCACTCTTGGATTTGAACTGACAGTTGCGTCTCTGTGTGCTAATGTGGTATGGCAACCTGAACTGATGTTGGTACGTACGTACGAAGTTCTACGTTGCAACTGACTGACTGAACTATTCACAGGTTCCATCTAAAATAGATTTTCATCAACATCAACAACAATATACACGACAAGTATGAGAAAGCATTGTAAGGAAAAAGAAGAATTCTATGAACTCTATGCAACACACAGTCAGTTGTAACGTGGAACTTCGTACGTATGTACCTAAATCAGTTCAGGTTGCCATTACCACATTAGCACACAGAGACGCAACTGTCAGTTCAAATTCAAGAGTGATAGCGATAGTAGAAGTATATTAGCAGTAATGGAGAAGATTAGGGAGCGAAGAAATGATTCGAAAAGTATAATTCAGTGAGATAAGGTGAGAAAGATAAAGGTAGAGGTGCTGACGAATCCAGAAGATTAGGATTTGAGAGATCACAATGAATGGATGCACTTACGCCATTGCAAACGATTTGTTTATATGCAACACACAATATAAATCTGATTGAATTTTTACACTTCCTCTAGTACTGTTAACATGGCGTATGATAAGAAACAGGAAATTAACATGTTTCAGATCATAATACAAGAAAAAACAAAACAACTCTAACTAAAGTATTTTTGTGTGAATGACTTAACGAATTAGATGAAATCATAGAAAAATAACTAACGTATTCATCACAATATAATATGTCTGTTGTAATAAACAAAGATCAATATGATCATCTTTATTAAGAATAGGACCGAAGTTGCCAAAAATACAATCACACTTATTTAGGCAATATGTATAATGGAATAGTTGAAAAACATGAGAGAAAGCGTGAATAAAAGACCCTAATTTTGAATTTTTTGTGTTTTCGTGCTAAGAGACGCTTAGTTGACCTTGAGCTTACATTTCCCACTCGGAAATCCTTGACTATCATTGGTTGATGGATTTTTTAGTACGCTATTTTGTGACTCTCAAGGGCATTTTTATCATTGTATAAATAAGCTTGATTTGTGTGCTTAGCCACCTCGTATTTTCTGGGTGCTTGTAGAATACACTTTCTACGCCTTTTCAAGACTTCTTGATCTAGTTAGCACGGGCCGAGGACAATCGGATTAGAATAGCCTATCGTGTCATTGAGTCATTGTTCTTAGCTCCGTTTACCGAGTAAGGTGGACTCGTAACAGCATTCAAGCATATCATAATTAAAGAATCTTACAGGAACTATACACAGATATATAAATAACTACGAAGATAGATTGCGCAACATGATAAGACTTGGGAATTTCGAAATACAATCTTGGTAATAGCTGTGTGCTCATTAGTGACTGGGTTTCGAGAAATTTTCAGGGTTCTAAGAGAAACAGCGATCAGCGTAGTTCAACTGAGTCCGGTGGGAGGTATGGTTACTTGCTGAAGATGGTTGTACTATACTGTGGATTGGTCAAAGTTAGACTTGGATTCTGGCTCAGCGGGCGGGAGATTAACCGTCCACATGCTAGGTCACAGGTCCTGGGTTCGATTCCCGCATGCAAGGTCGTGGATAAACGCTACTGAGGAATCTTGTACTGGGGGGAAACAGACGTACAGTGCTACCAGGTTCTTAACGATAGTATAACTTAGATTTGTTTTCCTCAGCGAAATAATTATTTAATCATGTGTTCGACAAGGTGGAATTGAGTGTCAACAGAGCGATAGACTAATTGCTGTCACTGATATGCTCAGTAATAAAGTGAGCTAGTTAGAAATGGTCAAGTGATAGAAATTAGAAACTATCTTAAAGGACAATTATATATATGCATGGTCAAGAAATGGCTTCTTTTTCTAACGAGTTGGGATCTGCATATACATATACTTTCCCCTTCCTTGCCTTCTTCTTCAAGTAGCACGTATCGCAATCATTTCTCGGGACCCACAGTACATACGAACAGCTCGAAGTGAAAGTTCAGTTTATTATTTCAAGATAATAATGGAACTAATTAAGCTACAAGTTTAAAAAAACCATCAAAAACAATCTATTATCATGATTTAATGTATATAGACAACGAAAACCTTTAATTCTATATTTCAGCACACAGACAAATGACTGTAGTATACACATTTTACACAATGATTATTTAATAAACATTAAGGCAACACTTAACAAGGTTAAAATAAACAATAACCTAGTTTGTTCTACAATTTTATTTGTATACACCTATTGTCCTTGTTTGGTGAGAGTGAGTGATATTCAAGTTGATTTTCATCAGGTCATAATGACAAAATTTTATTGAACCATCCTGATGTAATTCTAGCTAGTTATTTTTTTCATTGCGGGGTTGTTGTGAAGATTGTTAAGTTTTATTTGTAACCATGAATCGATCAATGTTAGAACACCATTAGAAACCTGGAAGCACTGGACGGCCGTTTCGTCCTGGTATGGGACTCATCAGCAGTGCGCATCCACGACTCCTGCTCCTCGCAGGATTCGAACCCAGGACCTTCGGTATTGTGCGCGAACGCCCTAACCGTTAGACCACTGAGCCGGTATCTAACGGTGTTAATGTCTAACTTGATCAAATCCACGGAGTTGCGCAACCTCATACCCTGTATACATCCGGACAGGTTTGAACTTCACTGGTCACGACTTCCCACTAGAACTCGGAGAAGATTCCTCACCAAGCTAGTCACTAGTGGACACATGTCATTGCATTGCGGGGTTGTTGTGAAGATTGTTAAGTTTTATTTGTAGTCTTAGACTTTAAAACGAATATGGTGGTGTTTAGTGCGCGTAATTTTAGTCGATCCAATGTTATAAATAGTAATATCAATTTATTTATTCAGTAGAAAGAAAGTAAAGTTCACAATAGTATTCATTACTATAATCTTTAAAAAAACATTACCGTATATCCTTGTCCATAGCATAATCCGACATGACCAGTTAAAGTAGCAATTGTTAATAAGCGTGAATTGGGTGCTTCCAATGCCTACACACACACACACACATACAAAATAGATATAAATGAAAACGATAACATCAAAAAATGATCATTATTTCATAGTGTGTCACCTTGACACTCTTCAAAGTAATGGTATGATGTTAAGCCAAAGAGTATTGTTTTATTTTATCTGACTGCTTCATTATGGTGTTTTCAACAGCATTTGCTGGTAAGCTCTCTCTTTTACATGAAATACAAAGACCTTATTATGAAATTAATTTATTCTACTTATTTGTTTGTGATTGTATCGTTGTTTGAGTGCCTTTGTTGTATTAGTAGTTCAATCTAGATAATCAAGTCTGTCTGGCCGAGAGAATCAATAACACCGGGTGTCGTGCGAGCTACTTATAAGTAGTATATGACGTGAGTGTCAACGTAATGTCTGGCAGCAAAAAATGGGGGAAGATCAAGAAAGGAAGACTCAGAACACAATGGAATTTGTATGAAACGCATGAATAGTGACAATGGATTGATGTTTTGCAACAGGAACAGTCTAGTTCGATATGATGAACTGATATTTTGCAAATGAACGATTTACGATATGGTTTTCCGAATTTACTGAGTAACTCTGTAATTTTCGTTAAATACAATTCGGTTGCCCCACCTATGTTCTCGATCACTACACCGGGTATTAACCTGTTGAGTAACTTAGACTGTAACTTGATCGATAGAGTACAATCAATACGAAGGATTGCAAAAACATGACAGGCGTTACTACTGAATGATCAATCGATTTCAATATATCGGTCGTATAAGAGACTAGTAGCTGCTCAAATAGTTCTCACTGTAGCCTCAAGGGAGTGGATTAAAACCACAACGTCAGAACTAGTTTTTTCGGATGCAGTTAAGCTTTGTTGTACGTTACATATACTCAGAGTTTTCATCCAATAGGCCCGGACAGTTTGACTTAATTTACAATACAATCTATTCGCATTCTAAATGTGGTACTGAGTATTGTTAGAATGTAGTAGTAATGTTGAGTGCTTATCTTTTAGACGGACTATATCTACACATATGTACACGTAATATTCAAACAATAAACAACTGAATGATTGATTAATTAACTAACTCCGCCTGTAGACCTATCGGGGCTACTGTCGGTCCCAAGCCCGGATAAAGGAGGAGGGTTGAGATGTGGGTTGGTGACGACCCCGTTTCGGAAAAAAAGAACTTGCCAAAAAGACGCTAACAAGAAAAAATTAATTCAAACCATATAAACTCTGCTCTGGGAGTTAGGTCTTAATTTAGAAGAGTTATGACGTCTCATCATGAAAACCTAGTTCCTTCGGAAGTCAAGAGGTTGATGCCCCTTCTGACAACCAGGACCCTTCCACAGTGTGGGCAGCCGGAAAGTTACATCCGCCCTCATAACCATACCCATAAAAGCTCACAGTCAAAAACACAGACACAAGTAGACAGGTAAGACAAATATTCACTGATTCATTTACCTTTTCCTTAGCTTCACATAATAAATCAGTCATAACCATTCGTCCTTCAGCGTCAGTATTATTCACTCGAACTCGTACACCAGCACGTGAAGTGACTATTTCATCACTAACATAAGCATTTTCACCAATACTATTACGAATTAAACCTAAAGTACCATGTACCTGACGAGAAGTAAAGAGAAGGAGGCAATCTTTAATGAAAATCACATCACAGTAAACAAAAAAAGTTACGAATCAATTGCTATATCCTCAAGGTTGATATATTAAGAAAGATTAACTTAGTTAACATGCTCAAGACTACTTGACAGATTGAGAATTTAAGCTGACGGTAAAGATAGTCAGTCAGTCAGTTACAACGTTGAACTTCACACGTACGTACATCACTTCAAGTTACCGTACCACATTAGCACAGAGATGTAATTGTCAATTCGAATCCCATAGTGGTAGAAATTGTAGAAGTATAAGCAGTAATCGGAAAGAATACAGTTCAAAGATATTATTCAAGGCGTTTAATCTAGTGAAAAGTTGAGAAGAGAAAGATGGTCATAAGGAATTCAGATTAGAAGTTGAGAGAACACACGGAATAGATATACTTGCGCCATTGCAAACGATTTTGAGCCATGTCATTCAAGGTCTCTAACCATTGGTGACTTTCGTCTCGCGGACCCCAACCTGGTAGTTTACACCTACTGACATGGCTAGGTCCACTTGTCAGGGACTTCATCGATTTGTGCTATGTTTTGATCTGGCCGAACCTAGCTTTCTTCCAGGTTACTCCTACATAACAAAAAACTGTTCGTCGTTAGGCGTAGGTAGTAAATGTTCTGAACACCTCAACTGATGAAGTTTCAATACTTCATCTATTGATCTGCCATCCCTACCCAGTACTCTTTCCCTAACAATAGCATTGCTCAATCGATTATCCCAAGATATACGATTAACGCTTCGGAGACACCTATGATCGGATACGAGTGACGTAGGAATATCCTCTACTCTTACTGGCCATGTTTCACACCTATAAAGTAGGACGGAGCGAACTGCTGCACAGTAACTCGTCCTTTGGTTAGCAAACGGATATCTCGTCTACGCCATAAGTGACGAAGGTTAGCAAAAGCCAGTCGAGCTTTCTGCACCCGTGCTGAGGTTTCATCACACACCAGGCCATCAGCACTGATGAGACTCCCTATATAAGTGAAGCAGTCAACGTGTTCAACTACTTCACGCTCTATCACTAGTTCAGGTGCCGACACAAGCCAATCCTGAAGCAAGATGTTAAAGATAACATATCAAGGAAGTTAGATGTAACATACTACTACTGATGCACAATGTGATTTATTGAGTCAAATCATCTGGAAAAATACGTATTATTGAATACTAGTCAATAATGATTAAAAGGACTAAACCGTATGACAAGGAAAGCAACTATGAGCTTTCTTTCATAAGTTTAATTAAACATTCTATTTACACTGTAGCAGTAATGAACTAGTACTACCGAATTATACTTCTCGAATCATATCTTCTCTCCCTAATCTTCTCCATTACTGCTAATACTTCTATTATTACTATCACTCTTGAATTTGAACTGACAGTTGCGTCTCTGTGTTGATGGGGCATAGCAACCTGAACTGATGTACATACGTACGTACGAAGTTCTGCGGTGTATCTGTCTGTCTGTCTGTCTGTCTGTCAAACGTTCATTTTAGCAATTTTAAAAACAACCACATGTTCAATTGATCAAGAACAGAATTTTATGTAAACACTACTTAAAATTATTAAAAGAATAACAACTGTCCAACGAGAAAAAAACCACTCTTTCGGATAAAAACTACATTCACAAATATAGAACTAATTACCTTTAAATTGTTTGGTTTCAACAAATTCAAAACTTTGAAAAATCCAGCTACAGCAGCTGCACCACATTTATCTCGATGCATTGTAGCCATAATACCGCCAACTTTCAGATCGGAACCACCTGTATCATAGGTAACACCTTTACCAATTAAAAATAAATTCACTATTTGTTGAGGATCAATGTCTGATCCTGTCGTTCCATTGTATTCTAAATGTACTACATGACCACGATGTCGTTCATTATCTAAGCATAATTAATTATATTAGTAAACAGAAAATTAAAAAAATATGATTTGAGTAGTACAATGAAACAATTAAGAAACTATGGCACAAAAATATATTATTTCTGTTTAGTTATACTTGATGAATGTGTAAACTTCCTAGTTGAGGTTTTCGTGATAGCCAATTTCAGAGAGATTTGGTGAATTCGGTCATACGATTACAAAAAAGTCATTTGAGGCAGTGTAGATGTATTTATTCTTCTTCTGTTCATGGATCATAAGGTTAACTAATGTTTCATGGTTAACACTAACGGATTTCATTAACTATTCCGGATAATATTATGAATAGTTCTAGTGTGGTGCGAGCTACTTATAAGTAGTATATGATGTGAGTGTCAACGTAATGTCTGGCAGCAGAAGATGGGGGAAGGTCAAGAAAGGAAGAGTTAGAAAACAATGGAATTTGTATGAAACGCATGAATAGTGACAATGGAACGATGTATTGCAACAGGAACAGTCCAGTTCGATATGATGAACTGATATTTTGCAAATTAACGATTTACGATATGGTTTTCCGATTTTACTGAGTAACTCTGTAATTTTCGTTAAATACAATTCGGTTGCCCCACCTGTGTTCTCCTTCACTACACTAGTACTTGTGTAATTTTCCTGAGACATCTTGTTATGTTATGTTATGTGAAAACTTGAACTAATGCAAATTTATCCTAGGTCCTGCATTATTTATGAATGATGTGGTCACACTTCACAAAAGCATAAAATATGAACATTAACAAAAGTGAAGAATATTGCAATAACTAAAAAGTGTGGATATGGGAAAATAAATAATTGCTGATTAGATGAAGACAAAGATTGGATTAGAGTATCTGAAAGTGGCCAAACTATAGTAAACGAGGTCCCTAATCAGTCTTAGATCCGAAAACACACACACAAAACTTTTCAATCAACTAAGACTAACCGTCAGTCAGTCAGATGCAACGTAGAACTTCGTACGTAAGTACATCATCAGTTCATGTTGCCATACCACATCAGCACAGAGATGTAATTGTCAATTCAAATCCAATATTAGAAGAGGTAGTAAAGGTATTAGGAATAATCGGAGAGATTAGGATTAGAAGATATTATTCAAGAAGTATGATTCAGTGAGAAAAGTTTAGAAAGTCAAAACTAGAGGTTCTGAAGAATCCAGAAGATTAGGATTTGAGAGAACACAAAGAATAAATGCACCGGCGCCTAACGGTAGATAACTTCACGAACTATAAGATATTTTGCAACTCTATACCTGACTCTAATATGGATCAAACAATATTAATTTTAATCATATATATATTTTTCAGATGCATTCTGTCGACCGAACGCGTTAATAAGAATGCAGATACGCGAAGTCGAATGCAACAGTAATTGGGTGAAGCGTTTGTCACACATTTTAATTACCTTTTGAGATGATTCAAGTAGTAGAATTTAGTGAAATAAAATTAAAAATAAAAAGATGATATACGTGATTAGGGATTTAGATGGTTAAGATTTGAAAGAACACAACGAATGAATGCATCTGCGACAATGCAAACGATTTCGAGCCATATCATACAGAAAGACAAATAGAAACAACGAAGAATTTCGTAAATAAGAGAAAAAAGTTGAAAGACCTATTTCAAGATACCTAATCATCACTACCACCAAAATATTCAAAATATCGTCGATGCAAAGTTGAAGAGGAATGGTGAGATTGAACACTTCTGTCAAACCCTACTGCTCGCATAACGCGCTCTTCAAAAGTTCTTTGTGAGACCCTACTCTGTGAGGTAGACCGGTTGTCACTAGCCACGATGGATAGGACAGTCTACACGAATAATATTCATCTGGTTTATCTTGTGTTAAAGATTTAGTGCTATAAACGCTAACAAGATGTAATATACATAGAAGACTTTAGGTGAATTTCCAATGTGCCATGAATAGTCACGAAAGGAATTTATAACCCTCCAGTCAATTTCATTAATTATACTTTTCTGACCTTTATAAATGTATAAAATTTAAACAATGCTACGCTCGACACTGCATAAGGAAAACTGCTACGCAATTTAAATATACATGAGTGTACAGTACACAAATGAGTTATATATATATACATTTCTTATTTCGCTGTTAGGTTTAGGAAAATAAGAAACAACTTACTTCCACGATCTACTATAGCTGCTAGTGGATAAAGCGATTGATCGACCGGACAATCAGTCATTTGAACAGGTGCTGTCAATTCTTTTTGAAGATATGTCACTACATTCTTGGCATTCATTCGTTCTGGATCAGATCCACCAATGTCACGTGCCACTCGTAAACCTTCTTCCAAACACCAAGCTAATCCAGTCTATGGAGTTTAGATAAAATAAAAGAAGTTTAAATCAGAGTTCAGAAATAAATAATTGCGAATATATATATATATATATATACAAAAGAATAGAGATGGAGAAAACCACGTCGTACAGAGTGATAAGATAATTTCAGTTATTGGCTGATAAACTGAAGCTCTAATGCATGGTCTCACGCATTCGACAGCTAATTTGAACCATTAAGCAGACTATAATGCACTCTGAAAGCGAACAAGTGTACTGATAGCTAGAATTTCAAGAGAAGTCAAAGTTCTGGTTAAAGAGCCTCAGTATACAGACACAACTTTAATGGATACGAAATAAAGCTCCTAGTGGATGAAAAGTAACTTTTAGTGGCTAGGGATCTGACTCGAATTTAGACGAAGGATTGAATAAACTTTCTCTTCACTTTTCATGTACCATTCTTAGGCGAACCTCGTTTGTGTGGTGGCAGTTATTAAAAGCTAATTACGGTTTCAAGTGGATGAATTGATTTCATGCATTTGCGTAAACAAACAGACAATTGAATGAGAAACAGAAAAGCAAAGCGAAGAAGGTGAGTGAGTCGACTTAATGCGACGAGACATGACCAAGTATTTATAGTCAGACAAAAATAAGCTAGACAAGTGACAAACGAAGTAACCAGTGCGCACACACACATAAGTAAAAACAGCCAAAGTTATGAACAAACAATTGACAAGATCAAATGAACAGATAGATTAGTTTGTCTAGTGTTTCAAATCCTAATCTTCTGAATTCCTCATCATCTCTAACCTTCTCTTTCTAAAGTTATCTCACTGAATTATACTTCTCGAATCATATCTTCTCTCCCTAATCTTCTCCATTACCGCTAACACTTCTACTATCGCTACCACTATGGGATTTAAATTGACAGTCGCGTCTCTGTGCTGATGCGGTATGGCAACCTGAACTTATGTACTGAAGTACGAAGTTCTACGTGGTAACTGACTGACTGGCTAGAATAAGTCATGTGAGCTCAACATATTAAATGCACACTATAAACTGTTGTAAAAATATCAGATATGCTATTTAACAGGTGATCCATACAGACTAATTTAATAGACTGAGAGGTTGGTGAAAAAAAATCTAATTCAATCAACACAACCTATAACAGAACTAATTTAACAATAATTCTTTCAGAGAAATGTATAGTATACAAACCTGTTTGAAAGAATTGTAGAGAAAGTAGATAGGTATATATATGTCTGATGCCTATCCATATATACCGGGCAGCTTTATTTTATGCACGTGTTTGTATTTGCGACACAAATTTTGAGATATTGCAGGTTAATTGGTTGTTGAGCGTACACACAACAAGTATCAAAAGCATTGGTATTCTTGTTGTTTTCATATATGATTTGAATATAGTGAGTGATACAAGAATATGATCATGGTGTATTTTAAATCCGGATGAAAATAAACTGTGTTCAATGCATAATTCTTAATCGTCACTCAAGTTACACTAAGTTAAATGATGAGATAGTCGATATCTTGTTGCTGTTTAAAATTACAGAATACACAGAGTGATGAATTTAAAAAATTCATATTTTATTTGTTCATCAGTCTGAGTAGAAGATATTCGTAGGTTACTGGTTTTAGATCATAAGTGTCTCCGAAGCATTGCTCGTGTATCATGGGACAACCGAGTAAGCAATGCTGTTATTAGAAAACGGGTGCTAGGTAAGGATGGCAGGTCAACAGATGAAGTATTGAAACTTCATCAGTTGAGGTGGTTGGGACATGTGTTGCGTATGCCTAACCACTGACTGCCTCGTCGAGCTATGTTTTGTAGTGTAGGAGTAGGTTGGAGGAAAGTTAGGGGCGGCCAAACTAAAACATGGCACAAATCCATGAAGTCACTGACAACTGGACTGAGTCATGTTGGTAGGTGTCGACTACCTGGTTAGGGTACGCGAGACGATAATGATCGATGGTTAGAGACCCTGAATGACATATCTCAAAACCGTTTGCAATGGCGCAGGTGCATCCACTCTTTGTGTTCTCTCAAATCCTAACATTCTGAATTTTTCATCCTCGAACCCTAATCTCTCTGATTACTGCTAATACTTTTACTACCTCTACTACTATGGGATTAGAATTGACAATCGCATCTCTGTGCTAATGTGGTATAGCAACTTGAATTGATGTACATACGTAGGTACGAAGTTCTACGTTGCAATCAATTGATTGCTTGTATCATCTCAAACAATACAAAATAAGAAAATGATGCACGTTGAAAAAGTGAATAAATCAAACTAAGTGAAGACTGAATCACTAAACTACAATAATGATCATTATTTACCACCCCTAAATTCATCAATTATGAATTTATTATTCCAAATATTATGTCATTATTATTAAAGCAATAGTAAAATACACAAAACTTACCAGTTTCTCATGATCTACTGCATAATGTGTCCCAGCAAACCAACCAAGGACTTCAGCTTTTTGTGTTTGAATAGGTTTTGTAAATGTAGAGCCTTCTCGAGGACTGAATTCACGAACTTCAAGAGGCTACAAAGTAAATAGAGGAAATAATTTTAAAAAAATGCATTTATTTCGCTAGCTAGTGCTATGCAGATTTTCAAAGTTTAATGCTATATATACATATATGAGAACTGGAGACTAAACTTTCCTAATTAGTTTACCACTTGAAATCATTATTACAATTAATTACTGATATCGAGCGACAATAAGCAAGAGAATAACGAAAAACAGAAGGGATAGCGTGATTATAAGCAATAAGTTGTTTACGATAGAAACAGAGAGATGAAGACAAGCCGAAAATAAAAGGGTATAGAGCAACATATTTATAGTTAGAATCGATATAGGTTTTAAATCTTGTTATCTATTATCTTATAGATATGAACCGAGATTTAAACTACCAGTCACAAACATCAAAGATGGGTGTAACGTTCTCATTTAGTTTGAACACGTTGTTTGCCTGAATAATGAAGGAACAAGTCTTAAGGCGATATGACTCATATAATAGCTCGTAATGGCACCATTATCCTTCCTTTCTCACTGACTTTTTCATTTAACATCTAAATTTCCTTAAACTATATCCTCTGTGCCTAATATTTTCTATTAGCACCAATATTGTTACTACGTTTACAATTCTGAGACTTTTCTTGACAATGTCATGTCTCAGTGAGCTGAAATGGTGCGGAAACTTGAACCGATACACATGTGCCAGATTTCTTACTACATGTAATTCGAACCATCAACAAGCGAAAACATCGTCTTAAGCTTTTCATAGCGAAAACTAATAAAACCTTAAAATTGACTCTAAACGAAACTGCATACTTACCACATATAAAGCATGGAGAGCGCCAAGTAAGGATGCCAAACATGAAACGGATGGTTCAAGCCAAGGATGTCCCAACTTTTTAGCTGTCTTCAATGGACCCAACAAAAGAAGCGGTCTTTTGGATCCGATTTTAATAGCTCTAAAGAAAAACATACAACCATTTCGGAATAAAGCAGAATTTAATATAGATGCATCCTGACTAACCAGTACCTCACAGAACCATGAAAAATATTCAGTGAATTAGACTATAAAACATATGTGATACGAAACAATTTTTATGAACGATGGGATAAGGGTATACTAAGTTTGCATATTAACCTTACATCTATGAATGAATAGTTCAAACGCTTATCCTGATTAATTTCAGACTACGCTGAAACGTGTGTAAATTTCTCGAACCATAGAATTTTCAAGATACAAGTCACAACCAAGCCAAATTAATGATTCAAACTTTGTTAGGGAGAAATAAAGAACTATAAATACTTTGGAAGTACGAGTGGTCTTGATGAAGTGTACGAAGCTTTCAAAAGCTGCGTTCAGTCAGTCGGTTACAACGTAGAACTTCATGTGAACGTATATCATTTCAAGTTGCCATACCACATTAGCACATCAGATGGAGTTGTCATATCAAATCCCATAGTGGTAGAGGTAGTAGAAGTATTAGCAGCAATCGGAGAGAGTAGGGTTCGAAGATAGTGTTCAGCATGTATAGTTTAGTGAAATAAACTAAAAAAGAGAAAGATATAGGTGATGAAGAATCCAGAGGATTATGATTTGAGAAAAGACAATGAATGGATGCACCTGTGTCATTGAAAACGGTTTTGAGCCATGTCATTCAACGTCCCTAACCATCGATTATTATCGTCTCGCGGACCCCAACTAGGTGATCTACACTTGCCAACAAGACTCGATCCCAGTATCAGTGACTTCATGGATTTGTACCATGTTTTGGTTTGGCCGCTTCTAGCTTTCTTTCAACCTACTTCTACACCACAAAACACCGCTCGTCGCGGCAATCGGTGGTTGAGTATATGTAAAACATCTCTGAACCACCTGAACTCATGAAATTTCATAAAGCTGCGTCAAACAAATTAAGTCGGATTGAGTGCGCCTTATCAAGGCGACTATTCAGAAAAGTAATCATGTGAATTCAAACTAAGCAAGTTACTGTTATTATCAATCTGGGCTACCCCAAACCTTGCTGGGTGATGTATTACAATTCAAAACAGGTGTATCGTAAGGTATGTTTTTTCGTTAATGAGGATGTAAAACTTGCAGCAAACGAGAGCAGCGCGACTCGATAGAGGTCTTAAAGAATAGTAGTCATTTTAACAATCAAGGTGACTGAAATATTAGCTGGACGTTAGGAGCTAAGAAAAGCATTTTTCAACAGCCTTCAAACGCTGAGTATCTCAGTTTATGAATGGCTGGGATTTGCTCGGGGCATGACCTCCTAGGAAGACCACCCGCACTAGTTAGTGCGTCCGAGAAATATCCCGGCCCACTCATTAATTCAATAATTTGTGACGTATTAGATAGGTGCCCCTTTCTACTGTTTTTAAATAAAGATCACGACTTCCTTAAAGTAATCATAAAACGATATGTTTGACTATGTATCTACATTATTAGGCTTAGTATTAATTTGATAACGCTACCTGGAGCACCTCTGAGATTACTGCCAATCCCAAACACGGATGAGCGAGGAAGATTAGGCATGAGGTTAGCGACCTCATCTCGTAGAAAACTAACTAGCCATAAAAACGCTACCTGAACGCTGCCGTAGCAGTTGGAAGGCTTTCATTTAAAAGAATTATGACGCCTCATGATGAGAGCCAAACTTCTTCGGAAGTCATGAGGCCGACGTCCCTTCTGCTAACCAGAGTAATCATTAATATCGGTAGCAGGTATTCTAAATCCCAAACGTAGCTGCTACCTTGACGTAGTGATCCGGCTTGCCTATCGTGATGACCCAACCGAACTATATTGGCTGGAACATATGTTCCTGTAGGTCTTACTACGCCAGGCAAATCGACTGGAAACTAAAAGCAGCAACTTAAGGTCTGGGGGCGAAGTCGTACTGCTGACTGTATAGGGGTTTGACAGCAGTAGGGTGTTTTCCCGGACAACCAGCATCTGCAGCCTCCTCACAATAGAAGGAAAGGGTTAGAAAAGGTGGACCATAAGAAAGGTCATACCTCACGGATTCCCCTCTCCAGTATTAAGGAAACTTGAAGAACGGAGCTAACACATTAACGTCATGTGAAAAGGCCGTGCACGACCAGCCCCAAGCAGTTGTCCCTTGGGCTCTGCTGTCACGCTCTCAGACCGCTAAGACCAACACTAAACCAAATTCCTTTAGAATTCCTCAGGATACACCTTTCCATGGTGTGGCCAGCCGGGAACTGACAACCTCTCCCATAACTTTAACAGAATACGAAACCAGAATGGTCACAATCAAATCGTTTCTACAACTTTTAATAACTCTCCTTTTCAGATTCCGTTATCACCTTGTGCCATTGATGCAAACGATTCAAGTACGCGACAGGTCATTCAAAATCGTTTGTAATGGGGCGTGTGGACCCACCCATCATCATGAATGAATTCACCATCATCTTACTCTCTCTAAATTTATTGCACTGGATCATACTTCTAGAGTAATATCTTCGAACCCTAACCTTCTCCATTAACAATAATACTTCTAATACATCGACTGCTATGGGGTTGGAATTGACAATTGTATCATGTCAGTGACCTCAGACTGCAACCATCTACATCTTATACAGTCTTCATTCTCATTTCTACTTACTGAGATATGCCTTTTGTAGATGCTTCAGTTATCCGACGAGCATCATCAATGTCACGATCAAGATGGCCAGTAAACGAAACGACCTGGAGAAATATGTATAGGAATACCAACATACCAAGCGTTTAGATGGTAAAGAACGACAAGCCAAGGTATGGACATCTGACGAGAATTTCTTATTCACCTGAAAAATCGGTAACCTTGATTCACACAGACCTGTGATGCTTCCTGTAATGTTTCGAACAGAGGCACATAAGAAGATGCATCTGATACGTCTTCAACAACAAGTACGACAGAATCAAAGTCCTGAGAATAAAGATCTGACGTGACAACAGGACGGATCGACTCGCGATGTGTCATTATAGCGGCGTATGACCTTGAGCAGTTTGAAAGGACAGTCCGAGAAGATATGTAGAAAAAGCTTGAACTATGGAAATAATTTTAGGTGAATTTCCAACGCCAGTTTATTATGCTTACGCTCTTTTGAACAAACTGTGAATTAACATCACACAAAAAATATTAGCTGCATGAGATTGAGTGACCTTGAATGTGACAGTACTGTTTATTCAAAGAATTCTGAAAAATTAAGTCTCCAAAACATGAGAACGGAACCAGTAAAAAATCAAATGCGAAGTTAGCGGACGTCTCTTGGATGATTTTCTCATTCACTCATTTCATGTGCTATTTCATTTGTCCTCGAACGACGACGATGAATGTATCAAGTTAATTGGTTTTAGTTCCGACTTCATTGTGCTCATCCGCATGCAAACTAACTTTCTGTCAACAACATATACCTCGAAAATTAATTAAACAGGTTTTCTAGATGGACATTTGTCAAAAATCCAGCTAGACAGATTGGTGGCCTACAGACACAGGGCTGTAATCAACGATTTAATTTTTGGATAAACAATTTAAAGACGTTCGTTCGCATCACCTTACCAATTAAGCATTCCATTCTCCGTTAAGGCAGATGTCAGGAATGAACGAAAGGCTAACGTATGAGTGGTAGACATTCCGGGTACTGGCCAGCGTGTGGTCCAATCAGGCTAGCTTTTCTACGCCTCGCTCTACCAACACAAAGAGCACATTACGCGAACCTAGCTTTTTGTTGTGTAGCTTTAAACGCATATTCTATTGTTCGAACAAATACTTCGATTTCACTTCGTATTCAACATTATAACTTTGAAACTCTTAAGCATTCCTATTACATTTTTCATGTTCGGGCAAAAGGGGGATGAAAAATTCCATTACTACTGTTTAGTGTAATGATAAATTAAAAACGTTTGTAGATGTGTTGATCACATTAGCACATTACTATCATATACTTTTATGCCTCTTATTGTATGGTTGTGATGGAGTTTTGATCCCTCAGCTGGATGGTTTGGTTCTCAAATCACAATCATACACCGGAGCTACAAATTTTCTCCACCATCTCAAATCTTCATTGTGGTATTTGAACATGTTTCCGTTCAGTCTCAACTTCCCAAAACAGTCCTCTCTATTTCGCATACGATAATGATTATAGCTTGACAACCTTTTCTCATGGAATATTGGGATAAGCGATTGTGATAGTTTTTTGGTAGCAGTTTTTTGAGACGTTTTTCATCCTCTTTTATTGTCTCAACGAAACTATGGTCCAGTAGTAATTTAACAAAGTATGCCGTATGCCAAAGCTGTAGTGAGTTCTTTTATACATAACACTGTCATCCGTTACTATTTTTCTAGATCCTTCCCCCTTTACGTAATTATGGTACCAACATTTCAGCATGGCTTATAGACCACCGGTATGTGGATGACCCGCTAAGATGGTCGGAATCGATTCTACTCAGACGAGAATACAGTGACCTTCTACCAGTCACACCTCACAGTCAACAGGTAACAGTGACTGTCTACCGATTTTACCAAGTCATTTGATGACCTTGTTGTAATACCTATTTAACACACCACTTCGCGGGATAACAAATGTTAATCCCACTACTCTGAGAATCAGCTAAAAAGGCGATTCCAGAGGAAGAAGTATATTTAATGCTAGTTTCGTTATATCTAAATAATCACGAGACTAGTATACATGAATGGCAAACAACGAGCGAGGAAAGAAGGCTGAAAGACCAAGACACGCTTGGCCCGCGACAGATAGTCTTTAGTACGGATATACAAGAGGTGTATAATATAACAATTATTGTCAGAATTAAATACAATAATAAACTTTTATATTTCAGCAATTGTGTTTTCTTCGTTAAAGTAAACCACTACAACCTTTTCGAAAAAGCAAATTCTTTTACCTTGGTGATTTTACAAACAGCTAAATACGGGTCCCGATTTCATGCGGGTAAACGTGATTTTTTCGTGAGAAAGTGTTTATGATGGACAAAGATGCCAGGCGGCTAGATCTGGAGAATATTGAAGCAGTCGAAAATGTAAGTAGGCCAACGAATTTTTTTCATGCTACGACCGTTACTGGCCTGGTTAGCCAATATGGAGTTTAATGGCTGGGTTATATTTGCAGTAGCGATCACCACTTTAGTGGCCCGAGATCTAACCCTGATATCTGTGATTAATTATATATGCTATTCTCCGTATATCATACTTAGGCGAACTCCGTTTGTGTGATAGCGGTAATAAGAGGCCAAAAAACGGGTTCAATTGGATAAGTTTACTTCAAGCAATCGTTCATGCATACAGATATGAGAATACAAAGCTTCAAAGCAAAGAGAAGAGAAATGCAGAAGGCGAGCAAGCCAACTCCATGTGGTGAAGTATGACAGAATAAGCTGGAATTGGTCTACAAACTTTTATGTGGCCTTTGAGAATATTCGCAATTCATTTTAACTTGGAAGCTAGTACGAGTTTTATCTACCTGACAAATATTTACTTTGTCTACATCACTGTTGAGTAATTCTCTGGTAATATACCCAGTTACTATAATGCGATTTTTTCTGGTCTTTTTCTTTTTTGTTTATTTTCAGAACCTCATCAACACTGAACAGTTTCGCACGCTCTACGTACGGGCTAATTAAGATCACAGGTTATAATATGAACCTTCTATCCGACATTTTCTAATCAAAAGGAACTTACTAACCTGTTGCAGCACACGGATGCTGTTCAACTAAATCTCCCTAAGAAATTTTGTCAGTCACTCCTTAATTATGTATATCCCCCAATAACTGTCCTGTGTATTTTTTTGATGGAAATGTTGCATCAAACAGATTACGTCTTCAAAATGGTGTGGACTTGATACACCATAAAAATCAAATAGTTATCAATAATCCAACTGCATAACCTATCAGAGTAAACCTGGTAGGATTCGTAACAATTCACTCCTGCCTGCAAACTGGTACCCTTAATTGACATGCTTGCAGGCATTACGAGTTCACCTTACTCGGTAAACGGAAAGATCAACGATGCAGTGACAGGATAGGCTATTCTAATCCGATTGTTCCAGGTCCCGCTAACTAGAGGAAGTAGTCTTGATAAGATGAAGAGAGAATTTATTCACAGGTACCCAGGAAATACGAGGTCCACAAGCACACAACTCAAGATCATTTATACAAAGATAAAACGCCCTCGGTGTAGAATCTATTTTGAAGGTTTTGTTTTTGGAAAATCCCTCCATGTATATATATTTGTGTTATGATATGACTGACTCTTCTGTTTGATATTTTGGTATTCTATTTGATTCCATTTCGAGATTTTATCATTTGTATCTTGTTATTATTTCTATATCTTGTGCTTATATCGAAGTTTTTATGTTTCCTTCTGAACTATGCATATGTTGTTTAAATTTGATATTTAATACGGCTACAGCCATATTTGGATTTGATACTCTAGCAGTAATGGACTGGAAGCACTTATTCTTCCAGCAATGGAACCTACTGTGGTAATTGGAAACTCGAAGGTGTAATATTGTTTTGGTAATTGACTGAATTCCCTTTTTTCATTAAATACAGAACCAATCTTGGACTTGGACTGGGCGGGACGTGTATGAACCTACACCTATCGGGTTGGAGCGGACTGCAAGAGTAAATTATTATT